AGATTCGACTTAAGAACTTTTCGACCTGAGAACTGCCTTCCAATACGGATTAAGTTCGTAAGTCGAGACCCCACTGTATTCTGCATATAAGTTGAATAAGCAGGGGGACAATATACAGCCTTGTTGCACTCCTTTCCCAATTTTGAACCAATCAGTTGTTCCATATCCAGTTCTAACTGTTGCTTCCTTTCCCACATATAAATTTCTCAGGAGATAGATAAGGTGGTCAGGCACCCCCATTTCTTTAAGAACTTGCTATCGTTTGCTGTGGTCCACACAGTCAAAGGCTTTTGCATAGTCAATGAAGCAGAAGTATTTTTTTTTAAACTCTCTGGCTTTCTCCATAATCCAACGCATGTTAGCAATTTGGTCTAGAGTTCCTCTGCCCCTTCAAAATCCAGCCTGTACTTCTGGGAGTTCTCGGTCAACATACTGCTGAAGCCTACCTTGTAGGATTTTGAGCATAACCTTGCTAGTGTGTGAAATGGGTGCAATTGTACGGTAGTTGGAGCATTCTCTGGCACTGCCCTCCTTTGGGATTGGGATGTAGACTGATCTTTTCCAATCCTCTGGCCACTGCTGAGTTTTCCAAACTTGCTAGCATATTGAGTGTAGCACCTTAACAGCATCATCTTTTAAGATTTTAAATAGTTCAACTGGAATGTCATCACCTCCACTGGCCTTGTTGTTAGGCAAGCTTTCTAAGGTCTGGCTCAAGGTCAGCAGCCACACTATCTGGGTTGTCCAGGACATCGAGATCTTTCTGGTATAATTCCTGTGTATTCTTGTCACCTCTTCTCTATGTCTTCTGCTTCCGTGAGGTCCCTACTATTTTCTTTATTATGTTCATCTTTGCACAAAAGGTTTCTTTAATATCTCCAATTTTCTTGAACAGATCTCTGATTTTTCCCTATTATTTTCCTCTATATCTTTGCCCTGTTCATTTAAGAACGGCCTCGTGTCTCACTATTCTTTGGAACTCTGCACTCAATTTTCTGTAACTTTCCCTATCTCCCTTGCATTTTGTTTCCCATCTCTTCTCTGCTATTTGTAAGGCCTCACTGGACAGCCACTTTGCTTTCTTGCATTTCCTTTTCTTTGGGATGGTTTTTGTTGCTGCCTCCTGTACAATGTTACAAGCCTCCATCCATAGTTCTTCAGGCACTCTGTCTACCAAAGCACAAACTAGAGCAGAAAATCAAGGTCATGTTTGGTTTAGGAAACTGGGCGGCAGCCATTTAAGTTATCTCTGACATCCAGGGATATGCAGCATAGATTGCATGGAAGTGATGAGAGCTGTGTGAGACTCCAGAAGATCTCAGCTTTCCATAAATGAAAAGCAACTTTAATGGGCAGATCATGTTTCGCTGTTGTGAGCAATACCTGCCAAATGAAATTCACAGTTTTCAAGAGTGTAGTGTCCTACTTGGCCCCTTACCCTCTACAAGAAGCTCTTAAGATTAATCATTCAAGTGTGCAGTTTTAAGAGTTAATGTTTTTCTGGTTACATTCGTTTTCTTCCCATATGTGATGTATTTTTGCACTGGACACAAGCCAGGCATTTACCTCTCAGAGAAGGATCAGAGCACCAACAGATCTGTTTGGATCCTTTGAAAGAACATGAATAATCTTAAAATTAGTTAAAGTAGTATTGCTTCTCTAAAGTAGCTGAGGAACAACTGTTATTTGGGTCAGGTCTACAATGATTCAGAGATTTTAAGCATTGTCCAAATGAACACTGCAGCTGGATGTTCTCTCACTCAAACACATTGGGGGGATCCAGCAAAAAGCACTGCAATTATGAATATAGCAATGCTCCAAGGCATGTGATACTGCAGAGTTCAGACCCAGAGTAGTGCCTTGGTCAACTCTTATTGGGACCAGGCAGTTATGGCTTTAGTTTCTTCACAGAAGTGATGCCAAATACTTTGGATATTGCACTGAAGAAAAATTAAGATGTCAATTAATCAGTGTGTGATATTGCCAGGAAAACTGTTGAGGGTGGGAAGAATCACATCGAATGCTCAGTGAAACCTAGCACCACTCTGACAGACCATATTTGTTGGCCAGATTCCTCTGAAATAGGTGCTTGTCCTAAAAGGAAGGTAGCAATGCAAGTCAACCAAACTGACAACCTGTTGAGTCAGAAAATCACCTCAAAGCCCTCAAGAAGTAGACGTCTAAAGACTCAAGGTATTTTGCGCACTGCCTTTTTACAGACACAGTATGCCAAACGAGTACTAGATGGGCATCTTACATGTCTGCTTCAGCACAACTAAGGAACCTTTGGCCCTTCAACTACTTTGGAAGTCGAGATCCCCTAGCCAACTTAACAGATCATAGGGGAGCATATGAGTGGTCCAAAATAGCTCATAAAATGCCCATCCACTGTACACTATTTTCATTCTAAAACAAACCGTGAAACACCTGAGCCAGGTCAAAAAAAGCAGTGCACTGTAGATTCCTATGGATTTAGCTTGATTTATTTGAACACAACTGAAATTTGGCCTTCACAACTTGTAACCTCCATTTGCAAGCTTTTTTAAAAAAAAAATAAAGTTGAGTTTAGGAATACTGACAAGGAAAGCATCGTCTCTCCCCTGCTGCCACCAAAAGCCTAGACCTTAGGAAAGCACTTGGATAGTTTGAAGCCAGCAAGTTATACCTATGATACACACTTTTGGAAAAGCTTCTTTAGCCCATATTTTAGGGGCAATCTAACATCAAATGGGTATGTAATTCATTTCTTCTTCCTCCATTAATTTTTTAAGTAGGAGAAGACAGCTTCTAACACCAACTGAGAGTCAAAGCAATCTTGCAGCCCACAGGTGAATAGATCTATGGATATTTGAATGCAACTGGCTTTCCCTCTCCCTCTCCTATACAGAGAATTTTTCTTCTTGGTGAGCTATACTCCCCTCCCTAACCCATATAAAACTATTGCAGCAGAATCAATTTCTAGCATTCCTAAACAGATTTTTTCTTGACAGTTCAGGGTATGGCAGATGGGTAATCAATGAATACCACACATTTGTATTCACAAGGAAAAAGCTCCAGTCCATCTTTTTATTTTTTTGAAAAATTTCTGACATTACAGAACTAAACTGAAATGTATTAATTCCACTCTTACATTTCATGACATAACAGAAAAACTTCATGAGCCAAGAAGGGGGAGAAGCTTATAAACTAAAATATGAATCAGCATTTTAACAGCTGAACAGAGAAAAGGAATTAAAATGCTGCAATTAAAAAAAATCATGAGTGGATGGGTAAAGCATGTAGAACTGAAAATTTACAAACTAGTTAAAACCTGGAATTGCTGACTGCTCAGAAACTACACAGATGGATCATGGGGGATGAACGGCAGAAACAGGTAATGAGTGAGGCGGTTGCATTGTCCTAGCTGCTTCCCATTCCACCAGTCTCCGAAGAAAGCCTATAAGGAGAACAGAAATTAAAGGCCTTTTAACACATTAAGATTAGTTGAAAGCCACATTTCTGATGCAAAACCAACTCCTTCCCATTCCTACCTCAGAGTCAGAAAGTCTGTAACTGAATCAGAAGTGGCCTACACTGTTCTTTAGTTCAGTTTGGCAGGAACAAAGCCACTATGTGCCCAGAGATTAACGCCAGAGTCCAGCCCACCCCCATCCATGGAAAGGAAGAGAAAAGCAGCTGTAATCTTTGGATCAGCAATGACCCTTAATGCCCTGTTGTCACTTAGATGTTCAGGATGGAAGCCACAATGGGCAAAAACAATAGTTCCCACCACTCAAATGAATGACCTTCTCCCACACTCACCCACAGCTGCAGTGTCCTAAATATACAGCGCCTTCCGCACAAATTCATGGTGGGGCCTCTAGCCAGTTCAGAGCTCGTTTCACTCAGTGAGCTGTTAGCAGCAGGCATCATGCACTGCCCTCTTTATGAGCATCTGGCACACATGTAACACCTAGCTGCTCCTTGGTTACCTTTCTGCACATCTCATCCCTGCAGAAAGGTGCCCATAAAAGCAAGTAGTCATCTGATGATTAGGTGACAGCAGGCAAGGAAAAAAAAGGACCTACCATCAGACCCTTAAAAGGTAAGCTGAAGGCAGATTTGAAATATATACACCCGGAGCATTCCCTTCTTTCTAACTCTGCCCAATACACCTCTAGGATTAAGGAGCAATATGTGATAAATTTATGATAAAGCCTGTCACTTGTCAGCTGCTTAAAGCCAAACAATAGTTATCTTGGCTACAAAATTTTGTCTCACCTTTAAACTGGGATCAATCAAAGTCACTGGGATTAGAAGAGCTTCTTGCTGAACGAGTGTCATTTTAACACTCCTTCACTCAGAATTTGCTTTCACAATCCCTGTGACACTGACACCACTGCATAGAAAAGGCACACATTGTTCCACTGTTAAATCAAGGTGGTGCACTGAAAGACTGCTTACTTTAAAAAAAGAGGTAGAGAACTTGTAGCCGTCCAGTTCTTTGGTCTCCAACTGCCATCAGCTCTGGCCAGCATAGCCAAGGAGGACAAATGCTTGGCTATGCACCCAAAATACAGGAACACCAACATTGTTGGCTCCTCTATGACAGACATCCTTAACAACCTTGCCAGGTATGCATTGGTATGAATCCCATGTTTATGCAAGAGTTGGAAAAAACTACCCCCTCCTGGAAGACTGAAGGCCTAACTGTGAGACATTTTACATCATCAAGGATTTAGGGTCTGTAGATCCAATGAGTGCAAACCAAGCTATAAAAAAACTTACCTTCGTTTGAGACCTTTCCTAACTGTACGAGTGCTGTTCACGTAGAAACAGCTCCCACACTACTGTGATTAATGTTTAGATGACCCAACCACAGAGATGCTTCTCATTCAATCGTGCCATAAAGGATGTGAATGACCCACCCCCCCTGGGCTGATCACATAAATATCCTCCCAGTCTTATGACAATATGAGGGTTATCTGTGACTTAAAGGAGTCCTACAGATATTCCAAAAGCAGTAGGTAGAATTCCAGTACCATATATGCAACTGTAAAGCGTGCAATGGGAATCACTCATGCAAAATGAACAGATGAACAAGTCTGTGCAACTTCTCATTTTGGAGTTATTCCACATACTGAAAAGGGAGAAGAGCATTATCTCCTGGTGCCACAAACTTCTCCAGTAGTTTAGCAAATTAGTGCGGATATTCACAACCAAGGATCTCTTTCTCTGGCACAGCACTCCATTCCACATGAAACATTTAGTGCTCTTGTTTTTAGCAGCACAATTAAAAGTTTTGTTCTTGATCATATCTCTGAGACAATAAGGGAAGGGGGAATTCTAGGAGAATCAGCTTCCACCCTCAATGTGAATACCACAAAGGATCGTAGTGGCAGTACTGCCTATCAATGCACATAATAACTGTGTCTGTGTGTGCTCTAGAGCGAGTATCTGTCTGCTGAACACATCTCAAAAAGACCGGATGCCAAGTTTTTGCTAAATAATTTGCAGATAAGGGCACAGGGAAAAGTGGAGGCAAGCTTGTCATTCTAAAACAAGTTAGAACACTAACACTGAAATAAAAAGAGTTCCACTGTTGTCTCTGCAAAACAGGCAGCCAGGTTACTTGGCAATTTCAAGCAAGATGTTAACAAATCCAGCTCAAGCAGAGGATTTCCACTGCATTAATGAGCAAGTCATGGAGCAAAGTAGACTGCTAGAAGTTGAGAATGTGTGCACTGCCCTGTGAAGAAACTCTTTATCAGAGCTCAAATGATCTGCATGTCTCTGAAAGGGGCTAGCTGTATACGCAGAACCTGAAGTCTTTAAACTACTTCTGGTCACTCCTGTGCCCCAGCTACCGCTTAAACCATTGCCTTAAAATCTCTAATTATTCCATACAGAATAAAAAATGTGGTGGAAAATGGTGGAGGTAAGGGCAGGATTTCCAAATATAGACAGGTATACAGGATTCCTGGGCAGATTGTTTAGAAAATAACGCCTGCATAGTGTACCTACTTACAAATCCTCATTGACAGAACATTTATCTACTTTTAACACAGATCTAATGTAGTAAAGTTTGGCACAGTAATTAAAACAGATATGGATGCCCAGTGGACAGAAAAATGGGAGCAGAAGGAAGCTTCCCTCTGTTCTTAGCACCATATGGTCACTACTATTGCTTAACTGTAGTGCAGCTTGAACGAAGAGCTTTTGGACAAAATACAACACGCACTAGTCAAGAACAAATCGCCTCTCACAGTCAACCTGTGCATGACTCAAGGAAACAAATGGCCAACCCAAAAACTTGGTTAAGAGTGGACAATTTTTACTTAATGTGTTTACACTACAGAACAGAACAGTTTTTTTTAAAAAAAGTTACAATTGTGAAAGTCAAACTGCAGAAACAAGCACTTAAAAAGATTCCTGCTATCAAGGAAAAAGGGCTTGACAAAACTGCATAATCAACTAATTGATGGCTGCCCCATCCCCACGACAGAATCAGGACCTTCCCTCACCCTGAATGCGAAGTGTGAAACTGTCCCAGATCAGTCAGATAGCACTTTTAACTTGTTCCAATAGGTTTTTTTTTAAATACAAAGGATAAACATAAGATTGCTAGCAATTCTGTCACCATTCATACCCAACGTTGCCTCAATTTCTGAAGGGTTAGAAACACCAGAAGCTGCTAAAAAAAGCAAGCATCTTCAGTGTTTGTGTGGCAACCCCAGGCTAAACATCAGGTGTATACAGCAAAAAGTGCAGACAGCAAAAGAAAGAACAAACTGCCATCATGCTAAACACAAGAGCATGTCACTCTTTCTTGCCAAGGGTTCATTCTACTTTACTATCAATGAATCCTCAATGGAGGGAAAAGGCGGGCTCCCAGGAACAAGCAAAAAGACTGGGATAATTGAAATCTGTTTGCTGGCCTCTACATCTCCCTCCTCCCAACTTTGCTATACCAGTTACAGCCCCAAGAATTACCTGTTAAGATGTTATGCCCATTTGTCAAAAACATATATTGCTGTCAGTTACTACATCTCTAATTTCTGAGCTACCTGCTCCAAGGCCTAAACATCAGCCAGCTCAGCTTCACATGTTACGCTGCCATTTAAAATGTACTATACAGGAAACTACCATGTGCAGCAGTGTTATGGGTATTCATTGTACTGTATGCATTGCTTTCAGGTGGTCTTGGCTTGTTATAGTAGCTCATGCAGTCCTGGGTAAGGAGCAAATCAGGTGTCTAAAGCATTTGACCCTTTGAAAGGTCTGCCACAGTCTGTACAAAGGGAAGGATGAATACAGAGGAAAAGGCATACATTTTAAATGAGGTGTATTAATATGTGGATTCAGTTTTAGGGCTTCCTTCCCAATCTGGTGCCATGCAGATGTTTTTAAGACTGCTCCATCCACCACTACTAGCCGGCACAGCCAATGAATGGCGAGGGAGTAGCTGTACAAAACATCCAGAGGGCCACAGGTCAGAGAAAGCTGTTATAGAACAATGGCCAGAATCTATTCAAACACTTTAGCCTGGGGATGCAATGTGAATATTCAAACAGCTAAGGTCACATAGTTCAGTCCAAATTCAGGCACATCTGTGCATACTCTCTCAAAGTTGACAGCTTTATTACAGAGACAGACATTGAGACAGATTTGGCCAAAGTAGCCTCTTTGCACAGGTTAAAACCCAGGAATTGCAAATTAGTTTTTTGTTAACAGACCCTAGCATTCCCTTCCCGCCCGTCCACCCGCCTACCCACCCCCTCCCCACCCATCTTATTCCATGTAACAATGCAAACAAAACTACGAAATCAACAGCTACAAGCTACATCAGAAGATCACTACTGGACTTCAAAACGTATTAATACACTTGCTCAATTGTCTTTGACCTAGTGGAGGTTGCCAGCAAAAAGAAACTCCATCCTAAAGGAATCACAAGCTCACATTTGTTTTGAAGTTTTAAAAAAAATCTCTTCCAAGTCTCCTCTACAGGACTCCCCATGGCTGAAAAACTATCTGCTGTTCCTCTAAGGCCACAAGCAGACGTTCAGTAAGGAGAGAATCTCTGTTTTTCCGTTTTCAGTTTGTTAGTAACACATGGCACAGCTGAAGTGGTGGAGGCACCCTTAGCAGCAGACACAACATTTAGAGCCAGGAGAGGGACGGGTTTCATGCCAAGCAGACTGGAGACACAGGGGGCGGTCGGAAGAGGGTTGGGGAGGCTGGAGGGTGCGTCGGAGACCCCTGCTGTCGCAAGCGAGGGGGTGGTGGTGGAGGAGGAAGAAGAAGAAGGGGTGGAGGGTTGAGAGAGGTTGATGCTGAGGTGGTCGGGGATCGTGACGGAGGCTGCCTGGGAGGAGGGTTTAGCGCTTTCTAAACTGTAACAGAGGAA